TCTTGTGAATCATATGTACGCCGATTTGCTCTTCGCAAATTGGTCGTCATGTGACTCACGTGATCGATTTTGATTGGTCGATCATGAGGTCGCCATGGCGACAGGTCGCTATAAACTAACGCTCTAAAATTAAAAAGTTTAAATTGTTACAACACTGTTAAAAATAAAAATAAAAAAAAATTCTTTTATAAAAATATAGTTTGGATTATAAACTATCAATTTGTAAAAAGGTTTTTGATTTAATAATTTTTTCAAGTTATAACATTTCAAAAACAACTAATAAAATTGGATATCTTAAGCTGCTGTCTGCTACTATAAAATGAGCATCTTTTACTATAAGATAGGTATCTTTTAATATAAAATAGACATCTTTTAATATAGTGAGAACACTTTTACTATTTTAGGTTTATTTGGCTTTGTTTATCATTAATGTTGTTATTATATCATTCTGGGCTGTCCTAAAGCACTATTTGTGTTTGTATATCTTAGTTTGAGTTCTATTTATATTAAACAAACTAATAATTTAAATAATTAAATAATTATTACTTTAAATAAAATTCTGTAAAAACTATCCTAATTAAGTTAATAATAAACTATTATTGAAGTAACTAAAACAAATTAAATATATTATAAATTATATAAATAAACTAATAATACTATAAAATATATAATAATAATATAAAATATATAATAAAATTTAAGAAAAAATATAATAAATATATAATAAAAATTGCTAATAAAATATAATTAATAAAAATTAACTAATAAAATATAATAATATAAATAAATTTAGCTAATAAATTTAACTAATAAAATTTGCTAATATAATAGTATATAGTATGTACAAAGAGTGAAGAAAAAGGCTAAGAATATTTAACTTTATTGTATATAAAAAATACAAAATAAAATGAAAGAAAGCAAAACAATTATTGTTAAATATAGTTTAGACTGCTTTTTTCTAAAAGAATTTATAACTATCTTGACAAAGTATAACTCAAAAATATTTTATAAGGTCTGTTAAAAGAAGAAAGAACTGAAATAAGAGTTGGTATACTTAAAGAATTAATCAAAAAAAAAAAATCACACAAAAAAAATTTTTAAAATAATAAAATCACTAACATCAGAAAAATTATTAAGTGCTATGCATCAATGTATATCTGGGTGATTTAATCAATATATAATGATTATTATTGATTATAATCAATAGAGTAATAAATTAATTAATATCGATAATTTAAAATTTTAATATTTTTAACAAAACTTTGAAGATAAATATCTTAATAACTAGTAATCTAAATTGGCACAAATTTTTATCACAATTAGATATGTTATTTATCTATAAAGTATTAAAGTTTTATTTGATTTTTTGGTTTAGGCCACAGATAAATCAGTCTGAGTTGAGGGTGTGGCGACTTAGTAAAGTGGTGAAGTTGTCCTATCCCAAGCAGCAGGACCAGAGTTCGAATCCTATCAGTGACGAAATTCGAATTTACAAAAAAATGCATTTGAACGACTGTATCCTATTGGGTTATAGAATCTGTAATGGAGTTACACCAGCTTGTACTGGGAGGCAGTAGAACAATAAGTATAACGTACGAGTTGCACGGCAGTAAAGCTACCAAATAAATCCAGTGGATTGACAGAATATAGGAGCCTGCTTGGGAAGACCCGAACAGAGAGGTAGCACAAATCTTCGATGGTATTATCTAATAATCCAAAAAGGGAGAACCGAACGGCAGGAAAAGGAGGAACCAGACGGGACTTAAGTGTTTGGCAAGGCATTCTCCAACCAGGCCGTCAGCTGAGTAACCAGAGGAAAAGGACCTAATCGTGGGTACTAGGAGCAGGTCACAGCTCGTCCGGGCTATCTGAATTGAAAGTTTGGTGAACCGAAAGTAGGGCTTAGTTTGGGAAACCAGAAGTAGGGCTTAGTCTGGAAAACCGGAAGTATGGGTTGTTAAGTATATACTAGGGTTTGAGCGAACTTTGCAAGGGCACAGAGTAGGTAATGATAGCGGCTTCGGCTCGCAAGTACTTGGTTTCAGCCTAGGCGTAAGTTACTGAAAATCTAGGTAATACATGTGTAGGATATGGACCGCTCTAGTAGGTTTACCACAAGATCAAAGGACCCCCCTATATGGAAGTGTGTGTCTGCTTTAAAGACTTAGCAGGCCTTAGTGGCAGGTTCCTCTTTAGAGAAGATATCTGATGGCATGAAGTTGATCAGAGAGTTTAAATGAGTAATCTCATAGTTGGGTTACAGGTACGGCATTTAGTGTAGATCTAGGATAGGCAGACTACTTAAATAGGCACTCAAAAGGCGCAGATATGGCTAGAATATACTTTCGTTAATGTAACAAGATCAGGCACTGTCCATATGACTATGCTGGTATTGAACTAAAGTTTAATAAACTGTGCCAGACCTGTGAGTAGTCACCTTAACATTAAAAAAAAAAATATATATCAGTCTAAGTTTCTTTTCTTGCTATTTTAGGATATAAAGTTGAAATTTATTCTTTTCTTTGTATAAGAGTTATACTCCTGTATAATCTTTACTTTGTAAAAGAGTTAAATTAAATTTTAATAAAGACAAAGACATGGTCTCACCATTAATATTAAAAAAAAAAAGTTTCATTTGATTTAGCTTAGTAGTTCTCAAAAAATCGCTTGTATACTATAGTTGATATTTTTAAAAAAATTGATTATTATATACAAGTGATTTCTCAAGAACTACTAAGCCAAATCAAATAAAATTTTAGTACTTTATAAAAAATAGCATATATAATTGTGATAAAAATTTGTGTTGATTTAGATTACTAGTTATTGAGATATTCATCTTTAAATTTTTGCTAAAAATATCAAAAATTTTAAACTATCGATATTAATCGATTTTTTATTCTATTGATTATAATTGATAATAATTGTTATATGTTTATAATAGATTATAATCGATATTATTACAAACTGATGTATAACTCTACTGTTGATTATAATCGATTATTTACCATCGATATATATTAATTTTCTCAATTACAATCATTATCTATCTTCTTAAAAATTTTTCTGATAAAAGAAACTTAAAAGCTATTTGAATACAGCTATAAATTTAATATGAAATTACTTCTATAAAAATATTTGAAAACAAAAATATGCATATATTAATGAATAGAAAAAGAAGAAAAAAAAATAAATATAAAGACAAAATAGAAAAAAAACAAAAACAGAGAAACCAAGTATTGGCATATTAGAAACAAATTCAATTTTAAAGAAGAGTAATCAAAATTAAGAACAAACTAAAAAAAGTAAAAAAAAATAAAAAAATAAAATAAAAAAATAAAGAAGAAAATATAAAAAAAAGAAAAATACTTAATTTAATGCTATTAAAAATTTTATTAAAAATAAAACAAAGTTGTTTTAGTATAACTTCATAGGCTAGCTTGGTGCAACTCTCTAGTGTGGGCAAAAGCCTCAACCAGTATAATAGACCATCCTTGAGCACCCAATAGAGTAGCTAAAGAATGTCAGATCTATAGTTTAGATAGTTAAATATATATATATATGCTTTGATCTAATAAAGATACTGGCAAGGCTACTGATAATATAAAAAAAAATATTACCAATTTTGTTTATTTTCAATACAAACATCTATACAGAAACCTGAAAAACATAAAACGCGGATTTCACCCTAAACCGATCTACAAAGCGGATTTCACTATTTCGCAACTTAGGTTTCACCCTGTGCATTAGCTTCTGTAAAGATATAGAATCTTGCGAAATAACACTAAGTAAGTTTTGGTTTGTTTTTTTTTTATAATAAGTCCATGGTTACTACGTAGTAAAATTATCTTACTCCTAAAATATACAACCTTCTATTTATAATTTTTGTAATCTTGATTTTACAAAGTTTTAATAATTGGTTATACTATTTTGACGATAATGATAAAGCAATTTGATTGGATATTTATTTAAATTTAGGATCTAATCTGCTAACTGTATTATGTAATATATAGATCCAGGGCCGCATTGGACGTATCACGTAACATTCCTAGTGCAAATCACACTATATACTTAACAGACATATAAACAGGTACAGCTAAAAGACAATTGTAGAGTTTATTATATATTCTTATCATTATAAACGCACTGCGTAAGCAGAATCTATATGTATGCAGAACCTATTTAAGTGTGTGACAAAATAATTTGATCGAAATTAGAGTATAATGTTGTACGTAGGTCAGTAATTGATAATCAATATATATTGATATCTTTTCTTTTTCGACACGTAAATCAAAAAAAAAAAAATGTCGTTCTATCCTTTTGGTAGCGGTTCCTCACAACAGCAGACCGTAAATCAACAAAATGTTGCAATGGCTGAGCAAGAATTAGAAATGATTACTGATACATTTTATAGGTAAGTATACAAAATTGTCTTAATTCACATAAATAATTCAACTAAATTTGCAAATAATAGGATTGTTGACATGTGTTATAAAAAATGCATCCCACCAAAATATATCGATGGTGATTTAAATAAAGGCGAATCCGTTTGTATTGATCGCTGTGTTGCCAAATACTTTGAAGTCAATATGAAAATCGGAGAGGCGTTACAAAAGAGGGGGCAACAGGCTGGCGTAGGTGGTTCCGTTACGGGATTTGGCGCATAATCAATTACGTAATTATAAGCATTTATAATTTATATAAAAAGGAAATGTTTGCAAATGACTATATTATTTTTTCAATGTTCATAATATTAAAAAATTATCCATAATACATTCGTTGTAAAAACGACTTACAACAATATTATTACCTATTACAAGTTATTAATTTAGTCATTGTTCTAATAGGCAACATACCTTAATATTATATGTTTATTCGACATGGAGGATATATACGTCAAAACAAACCATTAAATTACTTACCTGGTCTTATCAAATTCAACAAAATGCTAAAGAACCTTTTCTGTGTTTCGAAATATTACAGTTCAGACAACACCAACTTTATTAACAATTAATAACGACGGTCAACATATCACCATCCTCCAAATCTGTATCCTCCAGTTTATCAGTAACAGATAACGCTTCATCTTCAAACATCAGTTTTATGTCGACGTCGTTCGGAATATCTCTGATTTTTTTGTAATGGTCAATAACAGCTTGTACTGTTAAAGTCTAATAACAAAAAATATTAGTAAATAAATAAATTAGATAAGTAAAAAAAAAAAAAAAAAGGCATAATACCTTTTTTATTTTTAACTTTTCAATTGATTCATCTTTGCTCAACAATTTCAGATGAAGGTAATCATTATCAGTTTGAACCATTTTCTCTGTATTACCAAAATCGGACTCATTTTGATCATCCGAAATTTTTGACTCTCTCTCTATTTCCTCTAACATTCTATGCTTTAATAGGACATTCCGTTCTTTGTAATAATTGTATGTATCTCTTGTGAATACCTCTAAATATATACAAAATACGATTAATACAAATTTTGAGACGAAATTATGTACGATAAACACGTACCCATATGCGCTTGGCCAGACATTCCTAAACTTTCCGGTGTGCTACGTGGAAATACTTTCACCTTTTTATATGTCAACACAATATCTTGTTTCCCTATACCTCTTTTTTCGCATATAGTCTTTATCATTCGCTCGAAATTGTCTTGCTATAATCAAGTACAATGATGATATATGCTTAAATATACCGTACATGATTTTGATTTCTTTTCTGTTTTTAACGGCATGATAACAAATACACACCGCTTTCATAATAAATTTAATAGGCTTTTCGAATTCAGCCTGAACGGTTATGTTCGCATCCGCAGTTTGGAGATCTGGATGACGAACGGGAAGTACCATTATTTCAACTTTAGTATCAATGCATCTGTTTGATTTCCCATATGGCTGTTTAATAGACTGTTGAATAGCTAAAAGTTCAGGATCTAACTCTATATCATCCTGTGGTTCGTAGGATACACCTGGTGAACCGATGTCAACACTTTCAGATCGAAGTCTTTCCGAATATTGAGAGAGTGTCGCTCTAATCGGGGATTAGGTTCAGCAAACAAAAAAAAAAAAAAAAAAAAAAAAAAAAGAAAAAAAAGTTATAGCAAGTGTACTAAACAAAAAAGAATTACCTTAGCGTGCC